GGGGAGGGGGCAGGGACCCAAACCAGGCTGACTTTGCTGGGAGCTGTATCCGTTGGACCTCATGGCCAACAACTTCATGGGGCAGACAACAAAGAATGAATGACCACCACCTCCCACCATCCCCACCCTTGCAGCACACATCAGGCCCTGGGGGCACAGGGCGGGGTGCTCCAGAGAGGGTCTTGCTGCTGCTTACCTGCAGGTTGCTGTTGACTCTCTGCGCGCCACACTTGTTGACTCTGAGATCGCACTTTGAGAAACAGTCAAAGAAATTGCAGTCCTCATCTCCCGTGCAATTCTGCTCGAGAATTTCCCTCATTTTAGGTTCAAAAAAAGCCATGTCCACATCGATAGCCACGACCTGTAACCAAACAGCACAGGGTAATTAAGGGGGCACTGGGCTCAGCACAGAGGGAGCCTGGGCAACACCTCCATCTCTGTGTTCCCGAGCCGGGGTCACAGAGCTCTGCAGCCAGCGGAGCCCAGGCCATGCAACTGGCATAGATCCTATCGCAAGGCTTTCGCTTTGAGAAGGACCTTTGCTGTCACTAGCGAAAGCCTAGGATTTGGGACTGTGCAGAGAGCATCCCTTTTTATCTTTAAATGTTTCTCAGCTTTAAAAGTAGCATCTCTAAAATGTCTTAAAAACGGATGACTCCCCCTACTTGCTTTACTACTTTGGTCTCTGGCCTTCAAGGGTCAAGATTACAAAGCAGTGAGAGACAGGTCATCTACCCCCTTGAATATAAGCAATGAAAGGAAACTATGTTCAAGAGGCACGTCTGTGGGTGTGAAAATGAGGCCGACTGTATCTAGGTTGTCTACCTATGGCATCTCTGTTACCTGGCTTGCAACTGACTATTTGGATAGACATGTGGGGGGAAATGACAGCGCCAACGTTCTCAGATTAGGGTTGATATGTGTGGAGTCTGATCCAATATCATCAGACACTACATCCCATTGTCAGCATAAGAACTGTGACCCCTGGAATCTCTTTATCTTCTTGGCTTCAAACCAAAGAGGCTTCAAAACAAGAAAAATATCTAAATTATGCAGATTTCCTTCACCACCTGAATTTTAAAAAAAAAAATGAGCTCAAACCTGTGAAAACCTGGAGTTGGCCCAAATCAGGCAGTTTATAGCTTCAAGGTATTAAACAGCTTTTAAGACTTGATGAATTTGAGGGAGTCTGTGGCATTTCACAAGCCTTCACAGGTCAACGTCAAAACATCACCCCTTCCTTCTCCCATTGGTAGCATCTCAAGAAAGGGTTCATTTGTTTTTGTTTCTCATTCAGGGTTGATGCCAAAGGCAATAAAGTTTCTTGGGGAGTATTTCTTGAGGAGGGAAAATAATTTATTTCAAAATATGGAGAGAATAATGAAACAAACAAATAAACAAAAAACAGGGAGCTTTTTTCCTTGTTAAGAGCTTTGCCTAATTACTAATTCATGCACAGCAAACAGAAATTATCATTTTAATCAGTTTTCCTGTCTCATTATTTAGCCAAAAGAAATAGCTCACTTCATTATTTGCACTGGTTAATAGACTGAAAAAGTATTAGGCTATGCTAATGATCTACAGCCTTTCTAGTGTATTATTAGGGCTACAAGACCCTTCTCTTTCTTCAACAGTTTCTGGCAATCCCCCCAGCTTCTTCTGGGGCCCCAGATGGAATTTCAGCTCCTTGCAATTTCTCTCTTTACCATTACTGATGGTTCCCTTCTCAACTCCTAGGAGAACCAGATTTATCTTTTAATTTTTGTGCATGGCATAGGATGGATCACAGCCATTATGAGCATAACTATAAATACCGAAAATAGGAACAGTGACCAAACAAATCAGAAGGCCTGCAGGAGATTTCTCAAATTGTATCAGGAGAATCCTAAAATTCTTCCTGCGTGGCGTGGCCTAACTCATGCCACCTTCAAACTTCATCCTGCGCCAGCCCAGAAAGCACCGATGAGAAGCATTTCATTCTCCACCGGGAAGCGTGGCTCTGGGGGAGGAAACATATCACCTGTTTGAAAGGAGCACTTGCTGGCAGCAGTCCGGGAGCACGAAGCAATGATGTTCCCTACATGTCCTTGTGCAACCCCGGGATAAATCAAGACCTGTAAGTGGGGACCCGGAGGAAGTGAATGACTTTGAGTCGTCAATTCTTCCCATCATCTGAGCCGCTGCAACATGGCCCGAAGGGAGGACCCGCCTGCTGGTCCCCTAGCTTGTTTCTCAAACTCAGACGGCCACATCCATCCTCAGGAGGTCTTGGGTAAAGGCGGAGAACTTGCATTTCTAACCCGTTCTCTGGTGATGTGGCTGGTTTTTACTTAAAATCGTAGGTAAAAGGAACTTCTTGAACCTCAGCCTCGTGAGGAAGGTCAGCAATGCCGGGTTCAGCACAGTGGAATCCGGTCCTTCCCTCCCCGTCCTCACCCTCGCTCTGGCAGCAGCCAGGGCTGCGTGCTGCAGGGCCGAGTGCCTCAGGCACAGCAAGTCTGGCCTGGTCAGGAGAGCAGCCAGGACTTCATTGAACAACTATCTCAGGCCTACGATGCAGGAGATGCTGGAAGGCACAATGGAGGTGGACCTTGCAAGCCAGTAATGCCCCATGTTGCTCACTCCTCAGGGAAGACCCCTCAGCGCCACCTCCTTCTAAAGCCTTTCCTGGGAACCCAGCCCAGACAGCCACTGGGTTCCCTCGACTGCCACCACTCACTCATACGCCCTCATACTTGCTGGATGAATAAACAAATTACCTCATGACAGGAAGGACGGACCCCTAACTACCCAAAGCTGGTGGTTGTGTGTGAACACTCCACGCCTCCTTGCCCAAGGCCTCAGGGTGGCTGGGTCCCCAGGACAGCTCTGAGGAGAGCCACGGCCCTTTGTGTTCATTATATAACCTTCCTGCTCACAAAGTAAGGAAGCCTCGGCCAGGACCTCAGCTCTGAGAAATAAGCCTATGAGTCCGGGGCATCCTGACTTTCACAGCTTGTCTGGCAGGAGACCTCTCTGGAACCTCCAGGAACTCCTCCCTCCCCCCAGCTCTTTCCCTCCTGCATGTGGAAGCACCGGCTTATCAGTCTCTCTGGGACAGCCAGGGACAGAGCTTCAGGACAAAGAAGTTGGGGCAAAATGCTATGACGCCCTTCACAGTGACAAAGACTTGACAGGAGAAGGGCTCTATATCGATTTCAGGCTGTTATACCGAGGCATTCCTGTGGCTGGAATAGTACCTTCTATTTGTCCCTTATGTTTTGACTGGGGTGGATGAGAGGAACCATATACTAACCCTGACAAGCTCAGGAGAGGCCTTACAAACTCAGACACCTAAAGTAACCACATAGGATGCTCTGAAATGAAAATTTTTTTTTTAACTAAAAGCAATTCATGGCGGGTAGTCATGTCCAAAAGCAGTGTTTTTCCTAACAAAAGTCAATCAGTCAATCTTTACCTTAATTGAGCCTATTATCTTTTTGCATCTAAGATAACATATCTTTGGAATGTCAAAGTAATTTTCCTTTTTTTAAAAAAATGTATATTTATTGTTGGAAGTATTACAGATGTTTCCTTTTTCTCCCCCATTGACCCTTTCCTCTGTGCACACCCTCCCCCAGGCCTTCACAGTACTAGTGTCTGTGACCATGGGTGTGCACATAACTACCCTATTGTCTGTGTCCATGGTTATGCATATAATTTCCTTTTTTTGGACCCCTCAAAGCTCAGGCACCGCTCTGCAGAGATCACAAATCCCCTCATTGTCATTGGGTTCATTGTTGTCTGTTAACTATCCTGCACCCACCTAAGTGAAAGAAGTATGTGTCTATCATTTTACTTTTTATCCAATACCAGAGGTTTCTCCACTTTGCTTTCTCCCACCTCCCTAATCTATCACCAATGGATTTCATGTAACTCACTTATGTCTTCTCTTTTTATTGTAATGTATTTTAAAAGATGCAAAACTGTCATTCTCTGGAATATAATATCTAACTATTGAGGTTTTGTCATCAGTTTGGCCCAATAAACTCATAAAAATTCTCTATAGGTTTGAACATTTCTTATGTTGACAAGAGCGTAG